TTCTTTTTCTCCATTTAGAGAGTAAGATGTCCTGATATTCATATGAATAACATGGAGGACTCTGCTCAAGTTCTCCAGAATTTTATTTGATTTTCTTTTCTTGACTTCAATATTCAGCCTGGTCTCTACTCTAAGATGGTGTCTGGACACTTTAAGATGATGCTTCCCAACAGGGACTACAAAGACTTTACAGGCACAGTCCAAGTTGGCTGCCTCTCTCACTGGGTACCAGCCAGATGCCCTGCCCCCTTTCCTTCAGTCCATCACCAAGCAGAGTTTGAGTTCTGGAATTGATGTGCTTGGGTTTGAATCCTAACGTTACCACCATTGCCCTGTGTAGCTTTAGTCTGTTTACTCAGTAAGCTTCAGTTTTAATCCCTCTAAAATTGGGATGACAATCCTAGACACCTTGTAAGAATTGTCATGAGCATCAAAGAACTGGTATGCATAGTGAAACATTCAGCGCAGAGCCTGGCACATACTGCATGATCAGTAATCAAAGTTTTTATTGTTACTCTCTGTACCTTTCAGGGTCAGAAGACAATTGGGAGTTTGTCTGTCTTGGATGGTATGTGCTTCCTACCAGCAGTGACTGAGCTGCTGTGAATACTGATGTTTCCAACTGCACAGTGTTCCACCCTGTTTTTTTCTCCTTCTTCCTTAGTCAAGATATCTGCAGAGGTTCATCTCCTACACACAGGAACCCATTCTTTCTCTTAACAACTTGATTTACAAGTCAGTCGAACTAGCCAAAACCTGATCAATGACATATTTTTAAAGTTAAGAATTAGGAAGAACTGCCATAAAGTTCAAATCCATAAAATGCATGTCCTTTTAAACCTCAGCAGGGAGCCATACCGCCCCAGGGAGTGGGATTGGTCTTGTTCACGGGATGTGCGCTAGCACAAGCTGGGAGCTGGGAGCTGGGAGCTGTGGTCAGCTGCACGGTTAAAACAATTCTTGCACTCAGACTATCCTTCCAAGTGCTTCCTGAAACTGGCCAAGATGTATCCCATCAAAACAACTTCCTCCCTCTTGCCCACACCTACTTTCAGAAACAGGTGAGTCAGTCAGGTCTTATTTGGGAGAGAGGTTGTTGTGCTTTTAAATTTTTCATGTTTTTCACAAAGTTCTATCTATTAAAACAAACAGAAAATCACTATAAACTTACCAGTAATTATTATTGGTGGATTTATTCTAAGAAATTAATACTATGTTAGAGATTTTTCCTAGTAAATAATTGCAGTTCCTAAGATATGATTAAGCCTTCTTACCAGCATGAAACATAAACATTAGATAGTATTCAGCCATAGAATAAATGAACTTTTTCATTTTTAAAAAGTGGTCAGCTATATATATGTATCAATGAATAGAGTATGTAGTGAAAAATCTCGCTACCTCTCCATCCATGTATTTGTTTATTAAACAAGTACCAAATTCCCTCTAAGATCAGATTGCAGTTGAGATTCTCAGAGCGATCTACACAGTGGGAGAGGTAGACATGTGCAAAACTTACCAGGACAAAAGAATGTGGGCACAGCACAGATTCAAGTAGAAACCAAGGAGGAAGGTAGCCAACCTGTGTTCTAAACTGACCCCTAGGGTGGTGGCAGAAAGAGGTCTCATTAAAACTCACAGGCTCACTAGTTTGGTTAAAAGATAAGAGTCTGGGGCCAGGAGATAATCACTAAGATGTGGCCCCTACGGGCACATGGGCCCCTAGTCATATTTGCTAAGCCCAGAAGGAAAGTAGTTACATCCATTTCTAGAATCTCCCTCCCTTCCTCATGCCTGTTAAGATCCAGACTCTAGGTCCAAACCATTGCTGACTCTTGTATGGGTACCTAGTTTCAAATACATCGTTGATTTTCTGATTTTACCCAAGCTGGTGGTGCTTATGCTATGACAGTCCCTCCACTGGCTGCGGGCAGCCTCCTGTCCATCCTCTGAGACTCAGCCCAGGGATCCTCTTCCCTGGCCTCTCCCTTCTGCTTTTCCTGACCCTGGCTTCAAGGCCTCCTTCCTCCACCTTCATATCACCCTGTGCTCCTTCTCTTCTCTGTACTGAACACACTGTGGTACCGTTATCAGTGTATCTTGGAGTGATATTCAAGATACTAGCAACAACTGGTGCAGCCAGGCAGAAAACAAGCCAGCAGCTCCATGTCAGTGCAGGGTGACCACATGTCAGCCTGGTGAGAGATGACTTTTACCCACAAGACAGTAAACCCTTTAAAAATAGGGGCCATGTTTCATTCACCAATATATCTCCAGTGCCTAGCACTTGGTCAATGTCTAATAAATGTCTGTGGACTGAATAAGTCTAAGGTTACTTGGAAAAAGCAAGAAGCTCGTGATGAGCAGTATGGCACCATTTCAGTTCACCTCAGCTTGGTATGCCTTACTCAGGTTTTGTGTATCTATATGCACATGTTAGTCAAATGAGGCAACATGTAAACAAATATTCTGGGCTTCCAAAAGTTAATCATAACAGCCCCCTTAGGTTTTAGGTTTAAGTAACTAACTAAACATTTTTAAATTTCAGTCAGTTATAAAACTGTTTCCTTCAGGACCAGCCCCCCAGAGCCAAGTATTTGTAAACCCATCCTATTTTTCACTCACACAAATTCTTACTATTTTTTTTTAATTTCACCAGCCCAACAGATGATATTTTTAAATGGCTGCTGAATTATGATATGTCCCTCTTGAATTATTGGGGGTTAAATAAAAGAACAGCTTGTTTTAGGAATATATAATTGATGAAAATTTCTCTTGGGACACCAAAATTAAAACAGAGGTGAGACAGTCCCTGCAAAATCACACATCAGCCCCACTCTCAAAGTGTCAGTTATGCTGTGCGGACTCATTACCAAACAACCAAACAGCTCTCAGCCCAAAGGCAATTCTAAGGAAAGCCCTGTAGTTAATGTAGGATCCAAAGGTTGTACTTGGTGCCATATGAGCTCCTTCATGACATGGCTTTGTTTTATATTCCAGATCAGAGATTCATAAATGGGGACCAGGGATAAATGCAATGTGCTTTCTTTCCAGTTTTGTAGGATGTGCATGTAGTTTGTTATGGGTCTAAAAAAAAGAAAAAGATATTTCCAGAAACAGCATCCTATGGCAATAAAATATTGTTTTAATCAAAAGCTGGGTTGTGCTACATGAAAAGGAAGCACACAAAGCCATTCAGTGTGACAGTTTGAGGGTGAGTTAATTCTGTTGAAGAACAAATTGATCTTGCAGTTACAGAAAAAACAAAGGGAAAAGACAGTCCTAGTCAGGAAAAAAGCAAAATTATGGATTTTGTAGTGAAACAAACATTCTACCATGACTGATGGTCAGCAGCAAGGTGCTAAACACACATTACAAGGGAAAACACTGGAAAAACCCTACAAAAAATAATTCTCTATCAGTCCTTAGACAAAGAAGACAGCTAAGCACTACCAGCTTGGTGAGAGGCTCCCCCAGAGGCTCATGGGCAAAGACACTGGCTAGTTCCCCAGGCCTTGGACGGGAGGGTGCCCTTCTGCAGAGCAGTACAGCTCTGCCTCTGCAAAGTGACCATTTTTCAATAAATTAATTCACTAACTAACCAAAATGAAGGTAATTTTGGATAACCCAGATGGGGGCATGAGAAGCTTCTTTGCTTTAGAAGAGCTGGAAGGGGAGATTATATCCTATTTACCTACTACATATGGGAACAAAGTTATAAACATTCTTAATTGTTGTTTTTTTGTAACACATTGCTCATATCTTATATTTTATCATGGTCACACTTTACTAGGTTGTCTATATTTCTATATTAAAAACAAAATGCAAACTAACTGTTCCTATGAAATGATCAAGGTGTAATACATTCTAAAACTGAAGGAAAGCTAATATTATTCCAATTATGTACATTTTAATAACTAAAGAAAGGTTTTATGTTATACTATACTACTTGAATGTTATACTATAATACTTGAACCTTAAAGATCACAATGTTTTAAGGATTCGCTCAAATACATGATTTTAAAATTTCTTATTGCTTTTGTTCATTGTATAACTCAAAAGTTATTGCAAAGAAATATTTTATAATCTGAATTTTATCTAATAAATCATGCAGAATAGTTGGGCATTCAGCCTCTCTGCAGTCAACATGGACCCAGTAACTCTAGTTCTCTGAACAGTGACTTGGCATAGTAAGTGCTCAATAAAATTTGATTAGAAATTTACCTCAGGAAAGAAAATCTGTAGTGGTTTACTTCATTGGTCACTTTATTTACATTTCTCTGATATCTGATGGATTACAAGTCTATAATAACTCTCAATTTTGCATGACACAAATGCATTATAATTATAGCTGTCAGGCTGCCCGTGACCATTCATCATTTTCATTCATTAACAGTTTTCTATCATGATGGAATCCTGTGGGATTAGGACCTAATGGGAAAGAAAATGTTGAAAAACTTAGGTTTTCAGAGTCGGACTCCTTCTAAGAACATACGAAGTATAAGAAGTAAAAGCTAATGGAGAGGGAATGGACGCAGCAGGTGTACTGAGGACAGAGTGGCCCCTGCGGCCATGTCACCCACACCTCACACTAGCTTTCCCTCGTCTTGCCTTTATGTCCCCCACTGCACCATCAGTCATCTAGAAACTGAGCCTCAGCAGACTGACAAGAATGTGTGGGTTGCCTAATTACAGTAACCTGTGACCAGGCCACTTGGTAGCCAATTTTCACTTTATGAAGGAAGGTCTACTAATGATCTGTATAATCACCATCGTCATTATTAATACCTCAAAGCAACTGATTCCAGAAATGCTGGGAACTAGAGGGACAAGACATGGATGGGGTCAGCGTGTGCCTTTAAAAATCTGTCATCACAGGACAGGCTTCCCTCTCTGAAGGCCGTTCTGGAGTGTTTTCAGCCTGTTCATTCTCTCTCGCTCGCTGTAACCTGGTGTTTATATTTAACGTCTGTCCTCCTGTCTGCACCATGGCTGCTGATGAGCCGCTGCCTTGGTGGTGGATAATGGGTCAGGGGTGTGCAAGGCAGGCTTTGGTGGTGGCAGTGTCCCCCGGGCTGTATTCCCTTCCATGGTTGGGTGTCCCCAGCACAGGGGAACATGGTAGGCGTGGGCCAGAAGAGCTGCGATGTGGGGGATGAGGCCCAGAGCAGAAGAGGCATCTGGACCCTGTGGTATCCCATGAGCATGGAGTCGTCACCAACTGGGATGACATGAAGAAGATCTGGCACCACACTTTCCACAACAAGCTCCATGTGGCACCAAATGAGCATCCCATCCTCCTCATAGAGGCACCCCACAACCCCAAGATTAACCAGGAAAAGATGGCTCAGATCATGTTTGAGGCCTTCAACACGCCCGCCATGTATGTGGCTATCCAGGCTGTGCTGTCCCTTTATGCCTCAGGACAGACCACAGGCATCGTGATGGACTCTGGGGATGGGGTCATTCACGCTGTGCCCATCTACGAAAGTCATGCCTTGCCGCACACCATTCTCCGTTTGGAGCTGGCTGGCAGAGACCTGACTGATTACCTCATGAAGATCCTCACAGAATGAGGCTACAACTTCACCACCACAGCTGAGTGGGAGATTGTTTATAATGTCAAAGAGAAACTGTGCTACGTGGCCCTGGACTTTGAGCAAGAGATGGCCAGTGTTCCTGTATACTGCTCACACAAAAGAAGCTACAAGTTTCCTGACGGCCAGGTGATCACCACTGGGAATGAATGCTTTTGATGCCCTGAAGCCATTTTCCAGCCTTCCTTTCTGGGCATTGAGTCCTGTGGGATCCATGAGATAACTTTCAACTCTATCATGAAGTGCGATGTGGATATTCACAAGGATCTATATGCCAATACGGTGTTGTCTGGAGGCAGCACTGTGTACCCTGGCATTGCTGACCGGATGCAGAAGGAAATTGTAACTCTGGCACCAGCATCATGATGATCAAGATCAATGCTCCCCCAGAGCAGAAGTATTCTGTTTTGATCGGGGGCTCCATTCTGGCCAGCAGATGTGGATCAGTAAGCAGAAATACGATGAGGCTGGTCCTCCCATAGTTCATTGAAAATGTTTCTGAAAGTCTTTCATGCTAATGGGCTTACATTTTTCCCTTTTCTAGGTCACAGTGATGGTACTGCTTTTACCCACTTTCAACTGAGCCAAGGTAAATAGTCCACTCTTGCAAGTGTGTAAACTAGCAAACTCACCTCCATCCAAGTATTGCAGGCTTCTGCCCGGCTAACCACATCTTGACCTTTATCAACTTCAGGAGAATCCTGATACCATGTTCTATGTTCCTCACCCACAGGGTTCAAAGAAATGCAGACCTGCTTAAGTGACAGGAGTCATTATCTTAAGTGACAAGGAGTAAAATCATGAGCAATGTCCTTTCAGAATGGATCACTACAATTTCCAAGCTTTATAAATTAGTTCTTGCTCAAAATATTAACAATATTTTGCAATAGCAGTCTGTATAACCCTGTAAAAAAGGTGTGTGTATTTAGCAACATGTCTTAGTTAGGTTTTTTGGTTTTGTTTTATTTCTTTGTATAGAGATAATGAATTATATGGGTCAACAATATTTATATATATGCATAAACACCAGTGAAATATTATGTCTTAAAATATATTGATAAAATTTGGCTATTTGAGCAACTAATCTGAATTTCTTAACTCCTCAACTATCACTGTTTTAGTATCTCCATATTTTAGTTGTTTCCTATACTAAATAAGCATAATGAAACAACCTATATTTCATGGATGTTGTTTATAAATCAACTAAATTTTCAGATCACAGTGGAGTTCTGCTGGTCAAATGTATATTTCAATGTATAACTTACTGAACTTTATTCTATTTGTAAGACAGTGAAACTACAGGTAATGCCTAATTTTTAAAATAGAGATATTGAAATATCAAATTAATGTCATTATGCTCCAGTTTGACAAGGATAATTTTATTTCTATTTCTTAGCATAATAACACATGTCTTGAATAATTTTTGTAGGCCATGAGTTGGAATAATTCTCTTATGAAGGATTCCACTATGTGGAAACATAGCTGTAGCATCTTTGTAAATTATAAATTCTAGTACCAGTATAGGATTTCCAAATTTATTCTTAGAAAGATTTTAGAATAACTCTGCTTATTATGTCCTGTAACAAGCAATATTTCTTTATTCAAAGTGTCTCTAAGACACTAACATCTTAGAAAATGTCTTAAAAGTGTACCTTCCTGTAAACTCTAAAATGTGTTAACGAATCCAATGATGATTTTTAACCAATGTTAAGTGTTAGTGTATTTATTTTAATATATTCTGTAATTTATGATTATCTTAATACCAGAGTTATTTGTATTTTTCAGGGTTTTTTCTGAAAATTTAAAATTTGGGGGTGTTGCTTATTAAAGCATTATCACATTCTCAGGAGAGAGGAGTTTCTTCTCTTCCTTTCAGTTGGGTAACTTATACTTGGGTTTTAAATATCTGGAGTCTGTAAGCATTTTTCACTGAAGATAAAACTTTCCAAAGAGTATGATCATTTCTTATTTCCTTTGTCTAACAACACAATTTCTAAGTGCATTTAGCCAGAATTAATCTCCAAAAGCAGTTCATTTTATAATACTTGGAGTTCCCTTCCTCCTTTAATTAATTTTAAATAATTTAAAATTGCTCCATACTCACACTTTCTGTTATTTCCCCTCAATCCTACCCAAATGTAGAATGATACAGAAAGGACTGCTTTTTATATGAGTGACCTACTTTTGTACCTGGTACATTTGAACATGCAAACATTAAAAGGCAAATTTTTTAAAAACAAGAAAGATGGTTGGTCAGATGAAGTTATAAATTCCTTGTAATCTCAGTTTAAAAATTGAGTCTTAGTGGATGAACTCATCTTCAGGTAATTAGTAGGCAAAATAATGGCAATAATAATATCTTGGATTTATATGCGGCAACACTTTCCATTCACAGAGTAGTTCACACAAACAAGCTGACCTACATTCTCGATTACCAGAAAAAACTCATCTCTCCACCCACAGAAACATTGTGGGACAGGTCAGGTGAACTTCCAAGAGAGAGAACTGAGCCCTAGATAATTAGATGAAAATATGAATTATGAATAATGCAAACAGAAATTTAAACCTAGGGCCTTTGGATATTCTGCTGTTCATCAACACTGACTGATGGATGGATTTAAGGAGGAAACACTTCATCTCACAAATTTATATTTTAGAATCAATACCATCTATTTAAGTAATACAGGTGTGTTGTTATTCACCAGTGGTTCACTAGATGGGACAGCACTGAAGTAACCTTCACAGACAAATTTCATACCGTCGTGAGTGACACCCAGTCTCGCTTGGTGACCCAACCTGAGTAGCAATCTAGGACTGGGGCTGCACCACAGTCCCCCACAAACCATTACTTCCTGGTCACAGGTAACATTTTTCTGAAAGTACATGTGATCCAAAGCCAATACTACACATTCCCTAACTCATACATGCTTCTCAATAGTGAGATAAAGCAGTGGTAGGACAGAGCTCAGCCTTACCCTCACAATATTTAATAGAGAAGGGCCTATTTCATTTTCCAGATAAACAAAGAATAATCCTGAGGGGACAAGGGCCTTACCATACTTATTCACTCATTTTTCAACTATAAATTTGATGTCTTATGCCAGAATTTACTAGAGAAATGTCTCAAGGACCTTGGGGAATTATGATACAGTAGCAGTGAAAACTATGTGCAGCAGAAAGCAGTATGATCTACAGATGGCTCATAGACTGAACACGATCCAAGGTACTATGATAATTCAAATAAGGACAAGTCAAGCCAGGGTGATCAAAGAAAGGTTCAGAGAATAGACAGAGTCGCTGAGTTAAGTCTTAAGCACACATAGTTGTATTGAACATAAAAACTTCTCTTAGATACTTCAGGCACCATTATGATCACTATTGGGGTAGGGAGGGTGATTCTTATTTTGAATGTTTCCTTTGACCCATACCAGAAACTGTAAATAAATGCATAACCCTTAAGACTCAGTTCAAGTGTCACCTTTCAGAGAGCATTTTCTAGCCTTCCTCCCCCTTTCCCAAGGAAAAGTGATGAGCCTGTCCACTGTGCCCCCACGGTACCATGTGCATGCGCACAGCATCAGGCCTGTAACTCTCACGCCCTCCCCCATCACCGAGCACCTGGAGGACAGAGACGGGACGGTACTTAGCCAACTGTGCATCTTCGAGGATTTTCTTAGTCCCAGGCACATGGTATTGACTCAATTAACATAGTTTAAATGAGTGAACTGGTGAATTTACATATTCTGAGGTACACTGTGAACATCATAATTCTGTATTCCCTATTTCTTGCCACTGCATTGTCAGCTCTTTGTCTGCTTGTCTGCCATTTCTTTTGGTGGTGTCTCTCCTCTGAGGCATATTAGCTCTCTTTCCTTTTCCACCTATTGTTACTATATGCTTCTTGACACGCAGAGCTGGATTTTAAATGTTTTCACTTGCTAATAAAAGTTTCCCAATCTTCTGATTGGTCAGAAAATCAGTCAAGCTCACCTTTTGGAGCTAGTGATAGCTATGGAGCTATGGAAATTTTAGCATCCTCCTCCCCAATTAAAAAAAAAAGAAAGGGAGAGAGGAAGAGAAGGGAAGGGAGGGGAGGAGAGAGAGAGATTGAGGGACAGACAGAGGGAGGTAAAGAAAAGAGAAAGAAAAGAAAGAGCCTTGCAGTGAATAAAACAGTATATTCAGTTCTTCTAATCTGTTTACATTCTTGCTGATATTTTTCACTTTTTTTCTAAGCTCCAATTTGCTCTAGAGTTGAGTTTCAGGCATTTGATTCCCTTATAACTCAAACATTATAATAGATTGAATAGTATGCTTTTCTGGTAACTATTCACAGCCTCCTTCCAGAATTTACAAAAGGTTCCTTTCAAAAACTGTTTTTTGAAGTTACAAGTTAAGCATGTGGTTTGCCCAGCGCTGCTTCCAGCTGCTGGTAAGTACAGTTGGAATGTCTTCAGGGATATATATGTACACATCAGTAGAGACTGCTCATTAAAATTAACTCATACTTTAAGACTTCCTTTATAAATATGAAAGGATCTGCCTGAACTATAGCTGTCATTTTTTTGTAAAGCTAACACCACAAGTAATAAAGACTATAGAGTCTGCCGAGCTGCCTGCCTTCTTTTTCATCCCATTCCAGATCCGCTGTCCTAACCACCTTACAATTTTAGCTTGGGTTAAATCTCATCAACAGATGTGCTAGTGTGATACGATGACAGATACTTCATCTAGACAACATCCTAACACCCCCTGAAAAATGGAAAATCTTATTTAATTGGCTATTTGACAACATGTAAGTCAAAAGCCAAGCCATTTTTCTCTGGAATTGGGAATGAGGCATTTGTAACCATGTACATACCATATGACACAGTGTCTGGTGAGGAAGGGAGAAAATGCATAGATCTGGCAAGGAGGATTAAAGTACCTGCTAAATCGCCTTCACAGATATATTGCAGTAAGAGCGATATCTCCTAGCTATTTTCTAGGTTGGGGATGAACAGAAAAAGCCAGACACCAACACAGCATTTTAATTTCATGACTCCTACATGTTCTCTGTGACCCACTCAGAATGTCCCCAGATATCATCCCCTCTTTGTTTAATTGAAAAGTAATAGCCATTCAGCATTGTTTATGTTTGCCCTACCTGGATAACGATGGAAAAGCTGGTCTCATCAGTGAAGACAAAGTCATGTTCACCAGTGGCAATGCTAGAAATCCAATGTTTATGGTTCATAAATGTAAGATTTCTATAGAAATGTACGTTTTTTATAAATGTTCAATTACTAGGGTAATTTAAGATCTTATTGTATGTGAAATCTATGATTTCTGGCCAATGAGTTGGTAAAATGCCAGAAGAAAAGAATACATGATCCTATTTATTATAAAAATGGCATTAATTCAATAATGAGATTCAAAACATTTCATCCTCATCTAAAGTCAATTTTATCAAAATGGAAGAAATTATCTGTAGCAAAACAAATACAAAATTGAAAATTTTTAAATTTTGATGGACTTAGGAAAACAAAAGTTGAAGCAGAGAAAAGGAAATTGTATGAAAGAAAAAGAAAGAGATAGCAAAGTAATGATTAAAAAGAATATTCTTCCCAGTTACTACTTCACCGATGTTTGACTAGATATGCCACTTAGTGATTTGGCTGATGAATCAAAATTAGAAGTAATGAAAAAGAAAGTTATCAAATCTCTATGACAGTGTGCAAAACTCAACAAAGCTTTGTGACCAATTGAGATATTAGGGAGAAGGAGGAAAGGGATAGAAGGTTTAGGCTTTAAATGATGTTCAAACCATCACCAGCTGGAGTCATCATTACTTCCATATTCAAGTCACTATGGCCAAAAACTGCAGTCTGTCTGCTTGAGTGCTCTTCAAACACTGGCCTCACAAAGAGACTCTTACCATTCACAGGGTCAGGGAGACAGGAGGGGAGAGTAGACACTGGTTGTTTCATTTGATTTTTGTCTTGATTTTTAGCTAACCAGAAACTGAATAAGCCTTTAATTTAGCAAGATTACCCTTTTGAGTGAACATTAGTAGGAGGCAGGTCCCAGGCTCATACTCAGTCACTAGCAGTGAGGGCTTAGGCTTAGTCTGTCAGATGCCCTATTCTGAGATTTTAACACTTGGAACCTGAGAAAGTGACCCAAACATGCAAGAATATTGATAAGCTATTCACAGCCTCAGGGACACAGGAGAGCCATCTATAGCTATGGCAAGGTTCCATGGCAGAAACCTAACCAGACTATTGCTTCTGCATGACTTTAGCTTATTTTCTTATTTTCTAATCACTTAGTTTCTGTCCATTTTCCAAGAATGGAATCTGTGAGCCATTCATAATCCTTCCAAACATTTCCTTTCCGGTTTAAGCTATCTAAACACAATTTCTGTTGCTTGAAATCTAGTAATGCTGATTTGAACATATTCTGATACCAGGGAAAGGGATTGCAGGTAATAGACCCCAAAGAAATGGGCAAATCTAGGGTTGGTCATCTGGCCCAATTTAGGCTGAAGACAATAAAAATCCCTATAGCACTGGGTAAAGGGAATCCTGCAACTCATAGCAAACAGTGAAGAAACAGTTCATTAAAAATCCCCTGGGATCATTTAAAATGAAACACTTTTTCTGTGGGGGACCAAGCTTTCACTGTCCCAGAACAATACAAAGGGTAAGAATAATTGTCTTTCGATAGGTAGATGGCTTCTTCTATTGGCTCTGGCCAGTTTAAAAGAGAGAGTAACAAA